TACTATTACTATTTTCATTATTATTGCTAATATTAGATTTTTTATTATTTGTATCTATTGTTATTGTCATTATTGATGTTATTATTATTATTATGGTTATTGTTATTTTTGTTATTATTGTTGTTGTTATTAGTTATTATTGTTATTACTATTATCATTATCATAATTGCTATCACTATTATTATTATTATTGTTATGGTTATTATTACCATTATACATAAATGAATTAATTTATCTCACAATAGTAATTTAATTTTATGTTCGCTCTAGGAGCTATATGATTTTGATCATTCTTACCGTGCACAATGAAAAATGTCTGTTTGTATTAGGTTTTTCTAGATAATTTGTTCTGCTATTTTTTTTTTTTTCTTCATTAACCTTATACAGATAATTTTGCATTTATTATCTGAATAAAATTATGTGGACGAAATGCAGTTCCTAAAAGTGGCCTGGCTGTATAGATAGATACACATATGTATGCTTTTTTTTTTTTTTTTTTCTTTTTAAGTATACTTGTGTGTATAGTGTGCATAACCCAATACACACATACATTTATGCACACATACGCAGGGTATAAACTTCATGATATTCAAAATTATATTCAGAACATTATATTCGTAATATTTAGAATCGGTAATATTCAAAGCTCAACGTGTTTCTTATACTAAGACACAAGAAATTTTGAAGACACTTATGGTTAACTGAAAAGAAATTAAAAAGTATTAATCCTTGACACTGGATACATGTTCTTTTTTCCTGATTTATGCCTACATATAGACGGCTACACCAGTGGTTGGTCACCGTAAAGTCAGTTACTAGGTCTAAATTAGCTAAGCTGTTTATCATCCTTATGATTATTATTATTATGACTATGATTATTATTGATTGATATTAACTTTTCAGGATTTTATTATTTCTGTGAGAGTTATTATCATCATTAGGATTATTATTATTATGACTATGATTATTATTGATTGATATCAACTTTAACAATGATGATAGAGCTCAATAACTTTTCCTTACCAAAATTAAAGGAATGGGGTAAACAGATGAGGTCAGATAAGCCTAGTAATTAACAATTTGGTGATGACAAAGTACTTCTGGAGACAACTATGTGGACACCAAGTCAATACACATGTGCATGGACTCCTAACATTAACATATTAAGTTGTTTTTTATGTAATTAAAATAGTGTAGGTGTCCATTATAATCACATTTTTACCTGAGATTTTCCTGTTAATAGAATTTGCCGTCAACATTTTCACACTGCTAAATTATTATACTACTTATATCCACAATATATATATGGTAATTCTTAAATCACTTCATCATGAGATAATGTTTTAGAGAGAATGTTTCAAAACCTAATTAAAATGTTTGTATTAGCAGTATTGTTGATTTCCACATATAAAAGGTTCCTTGGACAGTAAAACAGCTGCTTCTCTGCAAACTCAACATATAGCACCTAATGAAAATCATTAGATAACTGAATGATAGGAAAAGTCTGTGACAGTCTTTTTATTGTCTGATGACGGCAGAAAGCCATCACAGGAAATTGTTAAAGGTTGGTTACATGGAGCATTTGTTTGCAGGAACATTTATTAATCCACCTTTGTATTATGTGATATAATTCTGATTTCATGCTGTGTGTGCTGTCTTTTTGGGAATTGTTAGATTCCAACACTAATCATTTATGGTACACGAATGAAGACATACTATTGAGATACTGATTCTTAACCAGTTTTTGTTTACATTTCCATATACCTGTATATATACATATATATATATATATATATATATATATATATATATATATATATATATATATATATATATATATATATATATATATATATATATATATATATATATATATATATATATATATATATATATATATATATATATATATATATATATATATATATATATATATATATATAATATATATATATATTATATATATATATATATATATATATATATATATATATATATATATATATATATATATATATATATATATATATATATATATATTATATATATATTATATATATATATATATATATATATATGTATGCAATAGATATAATATAATATATTATGTAATATATATATATATATATATATATATATATATATAGTATAGAAATATGAAGAAATAGAAATTCATCCTTATCAAATTACAGGGTAAAGATGCATATGATAATAAAAATGCAAACATTTCTGCA